GGGTCACTCGCAGATGTACTCGCAAAATTAAAAAAAAAAAAAAAAACTTAAAAAAAATATAGCGAGCTGAGCCCCCTCATATCATGGAAAGAAAATGGGATCCGCAGGCCAAATTCCCTCTACAACTCTTAGAGAAAAGAGACAACAACAACACCATCAACAACAAGAAGCTTCATGCTCCGCCTATCCTTCTTGAACTAACCGGTAACGACGACGACGACGACACAAACAACATCACTGAACCCAGCTTCTCAAATCGCTCTCTACTCAAGTTTCTGAGCGCCAAGAAACCTCCTCCGAAGAGGACCTCAACGAAGGACAGGCACACCAAAGTTGATGGACGTGGGCGCCGGATCCGCATGCCTGCCGCCTGTGCAGCTAGGGTTTTTCAGTTGACCCGAGAACTTGGCCACAAATCGGACGGTGAAACCATTGATGGGTTGCTTCAACGGCAGAGCCAGCTGTGATTGCCGCCACTGGAACAGTACTATACCTGCAAATTTACGTCCCTTAATATATCTTTAAGGAGTTCAGGTTCTAGTATATCTGCAAGTCATTTGAGGAACAGTTTATTCAATCCGAATTTCGGTTCACAACAATTAAAATATTCGAAATGATGGGAAAGAAATATAATTGATGATTCATCCAACAGAGAAGGTTTTGTTTCCGTGTTCCTTTCATCAGATGTTCATTGAGCTTTCTTTAAGTTCTAGTAATGTGAATGCTATTTACAAACTAATAATCATAAGCAAGAGTTACGTGATCATAACACAAGTTTAGATATGGCGTCTAATAATGCGGAGACGAGTATGGGAAGGAAGAGAAGGCCGGTGGCGGAGCAAGAATTGGCGCAAAATCAGTTGGGGAATTACTTGATTCAATCAGTACAGGGTCTTTCCGGCAAGTCAAAGCACGACTCCGCGACATTTTGGATGGTGCAAATCCAAGTAACCAAGTTGTGAGTGGTGGTGGTGACCCCATGTGGACATTTCCTTCTTCGGTTGGTAACAGTAATATGTATCGGGGCTCTATGTCTAGTGGGGTTCATTTTGTGAATTTTCCAACACCTATGGCGCTTTTGCCTGGACAGCAATTGGGTTCAGGAATTGGTGGCAGTGGTGGCATGATGAGTGATAGCCATTTAGGCATGCTTGCTGCGCTTAATGCATATAGAACCCTTCCCGGTTCTGTTGCTCGGAGTCTCCGGCCAGTGCCTCTCATCAACACCATGGCGGTGAGATGGCCAGATTCAACTAGTCATCATTCCTGAGTGTATGGTTTGATCATCGTCTTGTTAATTTTCTTTTACTTATATATGTGCATATTGCTACACAGAGGCACTGCTTTGATATTGAGTTGAAATATCAGATTTTTGGTGTAGAGCTGAGGAAATTTAATTAGGGTTTGATGATGAGAGATTAATTTTATTAACACGAACAGAGTATTAGCTGGTTCTGAAGAAGTCTTAATTATTATTATTTCTTCTGGGTTACTAATTAAGAATGTTGTCATATTTTCAAGATTACTTAGCTATAGCTATAACATTTCTTTGGTTTAAGAAAGAGACTAATATGCACAATATTGAAATTTTGTTGAGACTCTTTACTAACTTGCACTTGATGTTATTAGTTTAACAAACTTCACATTCTATAATCTCTTATCTCCTAGTTCACTCAACAGGTGAGAATTATGAGGAAACTAATTAATATGCTTTACATGATATTTTTCTACAATTAATCATGTGTTGTGGGTATATATGATTTTGTGATTTTGATACCATGATGATCAAATCGAAAAAAGGTCCAGCTAGCCTATACTAGGAAGGAGGAGCCCCCCACATAAGATCACATTCAATCTTGATTTGCTCTCTCAGGTGGTGTGAAGTGCAGGTCATTTTGCCAAATGCCAACAATGTTGAACCACTGAGTAGCGAGATCGATGATCGTATTATATATCTTCCTCTTTTTCATTAGGAATGAGAGCTATATTAGATATATATATATCAAATTCGTTTAATTGATGGTTGTATAATTAAAGACCTTCAATTCCATACCTGTCCCAAATATTTATCATCTCTGACCCTTCATCAGATGGCCTATTCTCCTTGATGGATCATCCTAACTCTTCTTTAATTTCTGTACGTACTGTATGACAGGCAATCCGAGATGTGGGACTTCTTGGGCATTTAAGATTACAGTTGGCTTAATTGCTTTTTGTTTTATATAGTGCAGTGAATGATTGGTTAAACATATTTCTTTTAAGGGCTTTGCGTTTATATTACTTAATTCTCTCCTGATGCATGGATGTATGTCTTCCGCATTACATTAATCTATTTATTTACGCAAATTAACGTAACCCTAATTACTTATCTTCTTATATGTAATATCCTTATTATCGATCACCATTATGGGTAAAACTGAAGAGGTGTCATTTGTTGTTAGTTTGTTCTATCTTTTTACTAACTTGCGGTTCAACTGAATTTCGGCTTTACCACTCAGTAATAAAATGAGGTTTCGTAGCTACCTTATGAAGCGGTTAAAATTAGTTAGTCATATCTACCTTGATGGGTTGGTGAATATATATATAGTGTTGGCTGAGTCATCTGATAAGAAATTCACTTGTTGCTCAATCATGTAGAGCATCTATAATTAATGGTCCATACTAGATCTTTACTTAGGGATCCATGTTAAAAATAAAGTGAATCGTGCAAGTTGTTTCCTTAAAAATAACCTAAGTGATTATGGAAATAAATTTATATTTAATAACACGAAGATAGCATATGGATCAGTCTCCATATGTTCTAGTTCATGTGATGTCTTCTATTTCCAATTTGTCCATGGAAATGATGATCTATGTATGTAGAGTACCCATTATTAGTTGAATATTAATGTATCTAAACTTTTAAATGTTTTGGGTAGCTAGACATATAAAACTGAATTAATGTGTATAATAAGGAGTAATTGATTTCGGAATGGGGTAGGCTTTTCATTCATCATCAAATAAAACATGCACTATGGCCTATAGGGATTAAGGTCCCGTAGTTTAAAACTTTCTCATACTATTTAATTATAGCCCTAACTGTACCACTGCTCCTCCTTAATTCTCAATAAATAATTGCTTATCCTCTACGTAAGTCCTCTATATTGCCTCCTACCGATTTCATCATGAAAATTAAAAGAAATTAAATCAAGACAGAGGCAATTCATATAACATTGTAATTTGCAAATGCTACCACTAGGCTATATACCTGAACTTCTTTCATATAAATAGTACTAGAGAGTCAACTTTAAGATGCAAAAGGCTATGCAATTCATAGAGCAGACTTAGGCATTCTGGTCTATGATTGAATTACCCAGAAATGCATTTATTCAGTCCTACTGGAAGCTGCATGATAATTTCAGATTTATTTTAGTTAGACTGTGTTTGGTGAATATTAGTGATGATTGTTAATTAATAATGGTTAAATTAATGTTATGCACAGTGGGTGCCATAATGCCCTAGCTGGCATATTATATATTTATTTGTCTAGGTCACTTACTTTCCAGTTCATTTCCATTCTTTTTTTCATGTCTATTTCTTATATATATGTAACTATTTATATTAAAATTCACAGAATCTATGATTTATATAAAATTAATAAATTTAAATTCAAAGGAATTAATATATTATAAGCTGCTGGATGAACTGTCAGGTTTTTTTCATGAGCTATAAATATATACTACATGGAAAGATATGATCGTTTGCTCCCTTATTTATTATCTGGCTGACTTTTCTTTCTTCTTCACTTTAATAATTTCATTCATTTTTTAATATGAATATCTGGCAGGCATCATATGCATATGCTCCATCTCCAATTGACCTAGATGACACTTGACAGGGATATGAAAATTCCGCTCTACTACTAATTCCATCATCATCATCAACCAGATTTTATTAAAAAAAAAAAAAAAGCATCGTAAATTAATATATATTCACGTTTTTATTTTATATTTATTATTTCTTAGCTAAAAACGAAGAGTATATATGGATCAATACAGTAGATCGAGGAGAGATATAAAATAAATTTTTATCAACTATTTGTTTATATACAAAACAAGTTAAAAGGACTTAAAATTTAATTAATAATGTAGTAGAATCAAATCATCTCATTTACTATAGTTTTTACTTCTTTCCAACCTTAACAAATTCAAGGACTTAAAATTGTTTTATTTTTTTCCTATCAAAATATGCTTAATAGTATTATCTGTGCAAGGATTTGGAAAGTGAGCAAGTGAATGGTTGGCCTTTAAATTCAAAACAACTTAAAGGATGAGTTTGATGCAGAAACAACAAATACATATATATTCTTGGGCTGAGTTTATGACAACTTTCTTCTGACTTTGCATCTTGCTACTTCCTTTTGGTGAAAGGTATCTTGCAACAATCATATTATATCACTCTCTCATTCATAAGAATTGGGCCTTGTCTACGTACTTTTGGTAAGTGCACCTACAGTTAACTCTAAACTTGGATTGGACCAAGATCTTTGCCTGAGCTGCGATTAAGTTATAAAATATAATACACAAATAGATATCCACGGGTTATACGATCTTTAAAAGTTGTCCCGATCCAGCCTAACAAATCTCATAGGATCGTGTCCCACTGACACTGAGTAGACTCAGTTTGGTTCATCCAGGAGGGTCCCCCTCGGTCAAGTTTGTCAAACTTGCAGGAGAAATCATTATTTGAGACTTGGTTTCTGTAGAATCCATCACACCTTAACCCAATAACTTCTCCTACATAATTTTAACACATCAAACACAATAAAAACAGGACAAGTGGAAATTTTGCGGTTTTGGTAAGGTGGCAAGTAGGAATTGGTGCATTTGAAAGGAGGGTTGTGACAACTTCACAACAGATTAAATTCAAACATTCGGTGCCTCTTTTCTTGTGCACCTTAAGATTCTCCGGAAATTTAGTTCCCACAAAAAGACTCACTTTATATATTCTTCCTTTCTTTCTTTTCTTTGTTGCTTTACAGTTTTCATACTTTTAAAACTTTTTAGTTTCGCGTTCTCTTAATTAGAAAACCACGCTCACACTAGCACTACCAAAGACAGTAAAAGCAAGTTATGAGTTCCCGGAATTTTCTCCAAGTTGTTGCTAAGAACTTTGATGTTCTTGCTTTGTATGTACTTTCTTACCAATGCTTATGACATAATTGAATTTATCATAGAATGCAATTTACACTTGAAAGTTTAATGCATTGTGCTTGTTTTGTTTTACACTAAGTGAATTTCTCTGTTTTTGGTATGCAGGCCTCTAGTTACTCTTGTTTACCCTCTGTAAGTAGGTTTATTATCGTATTGTTTATGCTTGAGGATTTGAACAAATACATTAAGTGGGTGTGAATTTTTGGTTCGTGCATTTATATGGTTCGTGTTCTTTTGACAGATATGCTTCAATTAAGGCTATAGAGGCGAAGTCTGTTTCTGATGACCAACAATGGCTTACATATTGGGTTCTGTATTCTATGATCACACTCTTCGAACTTACTTTTGCCAAAATGCTTGAACTGTAAGCTATCTTGTTATACTTCTCAACTTTATCTGATATTCAACAATGTGGGATTTCATATTTGCTTATCAATTTTACATTGACTACTCCAGTGGCTTTTTAATTTTGATTCAGTTTAACATGGCAATCTTGGAATTACTCTGAACATGGAATATAACTGTAGAACTTAATGATTTTCATTTTAAGGAAAACTGATTATTCAACATTATTGTTTGGATCAACTTAGTAATGGACTCATTGAATAGCTTATTTTTTGTAGTGGATTCTTAAGAAAGTTTAAATATCTCATTTTGAACTGCAATTTATTCTTATTCTTAGGATTGCTATATGGCCTTATATCAAGCTGTTTGTTACATGCTGGCTGGTATTACCACATTTCAATGGAGCAGCACACGTTTATCGGAACTTCATTAGACCTTTCTATATGAACCCACAAAGTGCAACTTCTAAAATCTGGTATGTCCCAAGGAAGAAGGACTTCTTCAGCAAACCAGATGATGTTCTAACCGCTGCTGAAAGATATATTCAAGAGCATGGTACAGAAGCATTTGAAAGGCTTATGACCAAGGTATGACTAAAATTGTTTTTTTCTTTTTTTTGGTGCAGGACTTGGAAAAAAGAAAATACTAAATGTCTATAAAAACTTTGTTCTGCTTCACTGCTGATAAAGAGAAGCTTGCAATTTCTATTTACCAAGTTTCAGAAAGTACAAAAGGGTATTCTGTTAATTCAGGAGGACCATATTTGTTTGTTTAATTTGCAGGCTGAAAGAGAAGAAAGGGCGAGGAGGAGCAACAATTATATGATCTTTGATGATGATTATATATATTGAATTTCAGTGTCCACAAAAATGATGCCTAGTTTCATTGTTTTTGTTTCGTGTGTTGCATTGAAAATGCTAGTTTAGTACAATGAGAGTGGAATTTGGATTGTGTCCATGTTCAGGGACAAAACAAGACTTTGATTTTGCTTAACCATCTCTACCCTTTTTATCAATTAAATTTGGTTAATTAGTTTGGTCCTGCTTTTACCATAACAGTACTATTGCATGTAAACACACACCAAAAGCTTCATGCTTTTCGAAAGCAATTCCTTCATGTGCCCCAAAAAAGGAAAAAAAGGATATTCACAGATTCATTTTCATCATATTTAGAGCGAGATTCTCTGCGGTTTAGGCATCAATTTTAGTGGCAGCACTTTTTACCTGTGAAAATCAGAGATGAGATGTTGGAGGAAATATGCCCTTCTATTGATGTTATATAACTAAATTATTATGTAACTTTTTGAATTATATAACTTAATCATTCATTAGTATAATTTATTATTAATCCTTAATAGTAGGTTATTATAGTTAATTATATAAAATATTATGGACTAGAAATGCATCAATTGGTCATCGAAAACTGATCACAGCCTTTGAATTTCACCGATTGGATAATTCATATTTTTATTAAGGTAATAAAATTGGTATCAAAGTGATCCTCATTGAACAATCTATCTATATGAATATTTTTCAACATAAATAAATGTGGAGTTTGGCCAAGATCCGATGTAGAAAGTGCCGTCACCTAAATTTTCTCTATCAGATCTCAACCAAAAGTCACACTTACTACTAAAAGCAATAATAATGTTAGATTAGCGTTGAGAGATGATTTTTTATACAAATATTGTCATTAGAACTCACCAAACAATTTTCTAAGCACCAGATCTTGACGACCGCCAATTGGATAATGTCGAAAACAAAGTACGAATATTTACATGTACAAAAAGTAGGGTTGCTTGTAATACAAAAAAAATGATACACATAGAAATCGTCGACATGTAACCCAACCTAGAGCGTAGAGATGCGCTGTACTGATCGTGGGGAAAAATTTAAAAGGGTGAGCTAAAGGTGGATAATAATAGGTTTTATAGAGGAAAAAATACTTTACTTCATCAAACAAATATTTTGAGACCTTATTTACACAAAACACAAAGGCATAATATCATGAGAATATATGATGATGCACAATGGATAAATCATCACCACAACACTCAAGAACATTTAACATCCACCACCTCTGCAAGTGCCCCTAACATAGCCAGAGCCACTGAATGTCAATCACTTCGTGTGCGTTCTGCACACTTGCAATAGTTATGTGCTCACTTCATGTGCGCGTTGCACACTTGCCCACTTCTTGTACATGTTACACACTTGCATTTGGCTCACCTCGTGTGTCCTGTTCGCACACTTGCATTGGTTTTCTGGCCCACTCTTCAAGTCAGCCGAAACCAACTCCTCTCTATGCCATCAATCACACCTCAATGTTAGGATCCCACATTAAAAGGAAAAAATGGTGGGCATGTGGGTTATAAAAGCTTGAGTATCCTCCTTTGACAAACCGATTTTCCAAGGAGAGTTCTATCCAAGCCCATGAAAGACCTATGACCCAACCCAAATTATTGAGTTATTGGAATGTGGACCTATCAATTGGTATCAGAGCATGATCCCGTGCCTATGTGGCAGCACACGCTTGGCAAGCTGACCCATGGTAGGCTGACCTTGGGCCTGGGCTGCTACCCCGAGAAAGGGCATGGAGGCCCGAAGGAAAGGGGATTCGCGTAGTCACCCAAGAGGTAAAGAGGCCGACGGGGGTAAAGAGGCCGACGTGGACGTCGGTTGCAGAAGCGTGGTGGAATGTTAGGATCCCACATTGAAAGGGAAAATGGTGGACATGTGGGTTATAAAGGTTTGGGCACCCTCCCTTGGCAAGCCGGTTTTCTAAGGAGAGTTCTACCCAAGCCTATGAAAGACCCATGGCCCAACCCAAGTTGTTGAGTTATTGAAGTGGGTTCCTATCAATTGGTATCAAAACATGATCTTGCACCTATGTGGCAACGTACACGTGGCAGACTGACCTTGGGCCCGAATTGCTACCCCGAGAAAGGGCATGGAGGCCCGAGGAAAAGAGGATCTGCGTAGTCACCCAAGGGGTAAAGAGGCCGATGTGGACGTCGGTTGCGGAAGCGTGGTGGAATGTTAGGATCCCACATTGAAAGAGAAAAGGGTGGACATGTGGATTATAAAGGCTGGGACACCCTCCCTTGACAAACGGGTTTTCTAAGGAGAGTTCTATCCAAGCCTATGAAAGGCCCATGGCCCAACATAAATTGTTGGGTTATTGGAATGGTTCCTATCACTAAATTAATCATTTTCAGCAACCTTTAATTTCATATGAACACCATATACAACAAGCAGCATAAAAATCAAATTTTTAAAACCCGTCTACTGCAAAATCATCTGCACAACACCACTTCCAGTCCACTAACCAACCACCAACACATTTCAATTTATCACAACAAGACAAAGATTCAAAATAAACAAGTATCACACCCAAAAACCAATACTTGGGAACAACTCAACCCAACACTTGTCGAGCACACCGCCAACTAATATAAATATACCAGCATAGTTCCATATTCAAAATTAATCATGCATTTCAATTTAAAAGAAAAACTAATTATGTGCAAATTCCCATGTAATACATCTCTGCACAGGTCTTTACACATGCACAACCACCCCCATGTCATCCACATTCAAGTACGATCACACTCCATGAACAATTTATTCAGTTGACTTCCTACGCATGCAATTACATCTTACAATGAAATTAAACAAAATTACCATTAGTACAACTTTCCAGCAACCGAAAAGCACATGCAATATACCATTAACAACTTTAATTTAATCATTAATTTGTATACCTGCACAATTGCGGGAAAATAAGGAATGAAATTGAAAATCATTTTGATATATATATGTATACCACTCAGCCACAAAACCTTCTTCTTTACTTGATCAAATTAAGGCTCGGGTTCCTTCTCTCCTTCACCTAATTATTTCATTTTTTTTTCTTTGCAAAATATCAGCAAATTCTCAAGGAAAGAAAGAATAAGATATAAAAATAAGCTTGGTAAATGAATGTATGCATGAAATCCCAACTTGCCTCTTCCTACCAAAGAATCAATTTTTCTTTAATCTCCTCCAAAAACCTCTCGGCACTCTACGAGAGGAAATTTAACTGGTATGACCTCTCAAGTTTGTATTTAAGAAAATGACATTGAAAATGTTTTACATTTTTTTAAAGTTCGAAAAACTGATGTGGCACACTTAAGAATTACTAAACATGTAAAAAAGGTTAGACTGAAAAGATTTAAACATATATGGGTAATAGTATAATTAGCGAAAATTTCTTTAAAATTTAAAAATAAAAAATGACTTCCCCCAATCAAAATCAATTAAGCGGACTCAACCCCCCCACATTCAAATCGCTTAAGCGACCTAAAAAACCCCCGACAGAAACAACCACCCTTCAGCGCGTTTTTCTTCTCGTTTTTTGCCACCCATTGTCGAAATCCTTTGCTATTTGTATTGAAGGCATTCCCTCTTACTTACAAAGAAACAATGGCTGACCTAAACAAAGATTTTGACAAAGACCCAACCCCTTTCCAAATCATGGATGTGAGTGGTTCGAAAATTGGAGAATCGAAGGTTGCGGTGGAGCAACTTCCGATGACTGAAGTTACTCCACCAGGAGAAGATACGACACCGGCAGAAGACTTGTCGCCAGCCAAACAAGGGAGGGCAGAAGTTGAAATTGAAAATGAAGAGGAGGATGCCGGTGCAACTTCAGGCGAGGAGGTGGAAGAAGATGAAGAAAAGGTAATAATCTATATATTTTATGAAATTATTGTTTGTTTGTGCCAATTTAGGGATATTTGGTTGGTGTTTGTTGTTAGGGTCATTGTTACATTTTTTCGAGCAGTTGGAGGGCATTAGAGGAGTGAGTGTTTTGGGCTTCCAGAGGAGCGGGGAAGCCAAGAGAGGCCATAGGGAGGTTGTTTGTGGTAGTTTGGATGACTTTTGTTGACAAAGAGAGTGGAATAAGGGGGCTGCCCTACATATTGTAGGGTTGTCCACGCGCAATTGGTCCTATAATATGCAGGTAAGCCCTGAGCCCCCCCTATGTAGCTCTCTTCTACGAAGACCAGAGAACTGAACCTACCACAACAGCCTCTCTTGTCTTCACTAGACCTCTGGAAGCCAAAAACAACCACTCCCCCAATGCATTCCAACATGTTGCTTATTTTGGTTTTTTGTTGTGTTGATAGGTAGTGTATATCGATTGTGTAATGTTCTAGGAGCATAAATTATAAGGATTATAGGCTTGAGGTTGTAAATGATGTTGTGCCATACTTCCCAGCACAGGTTACTGTTAGGTCTAGTTAGCAAGTGTTTAGGAAAATTAAGGACATTCTAGGTAGGCATCGAAGAGGGATGGACCAATTCAGAAGCTCATGTTTCGGTCATTTTTTGGGTTGGGAGATAATTGGAGTAAGGTCTTTTGGGGGCAGGGTGCACATTATCTTTTGGTGCAGTTTGTTAAATGCAAAAAGAAGAATGAAATGTGGTTTGTGGTTGATGGAAAGCCAATTCAGTTTGGGATGATGGAATTCTACTTAATGATTGGCCCAAATTGTGGGCCCTTTCCAGAATTAGAAGTTGAAGAAAGGGTAAAGAATATCAAGGTTGCCAAAACGTTTGTTAGAAAGGTTCTTGCAGGGCAACAATCAGTTTTGGGTCATGATTTAAAGGAGAGGTTAGAAGCGGAAGGAAATCAATATAGCTCTTTAGAGAAGTTTTGAATGTGCTTGGTATGGTTCGTGCATTCAATCATAATGGCTTGTGACTCAACAAAATCTGTAAACTTGGTTTGGGTGTGATAGCGCAAGTAACAATGACTTCTTTTATTCTTATCCGTGGGTCAGGTTATCATTTCAGTTAACCATTGATTCCCGTGAGGAAAAGACATGGCGATAAAATACCGCCAATATGTCGAGAAGGAGAAACCCAACACATACAATTTATTTGGCTTCCCTTGGGCAATGCAGATAAAATGCAGGCGGTTAAAATTAGTTAGTCATA